CTTCGATGGAGCTTCAGGTTTATATTTTGAAAAATCTCCACATTTTTTGAGCTCTCGTAGCCGAACTAGCCAATCTGTCTGCCAATTAACAGATCGTCGAGAGTGATAGTGACGTTTGCTGAGAGGAAAGGATTTGTATGATTACTTTTTAATCAGTCTTATGCTGAATTCGAGGGTCTTCGAGGTCGCAACACGCTTGTAAAGTTGGTATAACACTTCAGCAGAAGCAAAGCTATATAAGTGAAAAATAAACCATTTTGCCAACAACCTCTATGCTTTATGCCTTTTAGACTTCGTATTCGCCTAGTTTTAACCACAATTCAAAGTTATGGTAACTCAATCAATATAGCGATAAATAATCACTTAGTAATTAGGCATATTTTAAAATGTGATGCACTAATGGAACTTTATTTAAATGTTATATTCATATTATTTGACGATGTAGAGTGAAGGAGTTCGCTAAATAGCCTCCCCAACGTTCGAGATGGTAGGCTAAATGACCTAAAAATTCGGATGAAATCCCAGAGTTACAAACATTTTTGGAACAAGGGACCTTTCTTAGCACAACTTTATAGCTACTTTAAATATTTCCCCCAAATGTTCTTAAGTATACTTTTTCCTAGAAAATAATGGAATTTTTGAAGGTGGAAACTATCTTGACAAAAATGTAGGGATTGTATATGAGATCTATTCACCATATAAGTAAGGACTGGTAGCTAAATTTTCCCTCAATCATATGAGTAGACCTTATATCTTCAATGAACTTCACATAACCTTGATAATATATCCTTTGGAAAGCAAGGATATGTGAAGTTCAATCGAAACGTAAGGCCTACTCATTTGGTGCTGTTATGTCTCCAAGACACCCTTCTTGAAATAAGATTGAATCTTGCTGATGTCCGAGATACAAAAGTTCATCTAATTCTGCTGCTGAGTCAAGCATACATACAAGATCAGGATTTCCGAGCACAAAACTAAATATATATTAAAATGGCCTCAGTAAACTATCGAATTTATTTGAAGGTATGAAGACCAAGATGATGTGGCCTTTTGTGTGGTCGCAATCTTTTTTCGTTGTTTAGAAGTTGTTTGACGTTGTTTTCGCATCTTGGTCCTATTAGTAGGAAGATTTAGAGGAACGTACCAAGTCCGGAGTCCATTGTATGCATGATTATTTCCAAAGTTGGATCGTGGACGTGGTACTTTCCCAGACGTTTCGCCGGCATCCTAGTCGGCATCATCAGTGAGTCTCGCCATTTGTAGCACCATATTACAACTCGTTAAAGAGACAAGTCACTTGTAATATGGTGCTACGAATGGCGAGATTCACTAACAGTGCCAACTAGGATGCCGGTGAAACGTCTGGGAATGTATCACGTCCACGGTCCTACTCTGGAAATGATGATGCATACAATG